TTCTTGGCTCACCCTCGTAGATCTGAAATAGACGTTCAATTTTTGTCGAACATTTATATGGATACTTTACAGCGGTGAATTAATTGTGAACATAATTATATTTTGCTTATGATACTCGCTTATGTAGATGCACGTTACCAGAGTTAGAAACAAAGCGTTGAATAAACCGGCTCCCCAAGTGCACATCATGACAGAAACGAATTGCGTAGCTAATACCAGCCTGTACTTGCGTTGCGTGTCTATAACGAAGGGATATTCCATTCTCATCATAAGAGGCAGTTTAGCCGTTCGATCGTTGATGTCGGCATCGGCCAGCAGAATGCTAGTGACATATGCAAGCGCAGAGATTGTGTGAAGAATAATTATTCCATTACAAATGCGACTCGATAGTTTTGCTTTCCTCGCCGTTTCGCGCAACGCTACGCCAGTGTTATCGGGATAGTTCCAGTCTTCCGCCATCATCGTCAAGATTTCGATAAATTTTCTAAAAATGTCAAATATCTTTAGATAACCGTTACGTATTCGACCAACGTTCTCGTCTTCTATCTTTACGAAATTTTAATTATTTAATTTATCAAGAGTTCCTTACTGCTGTTTTAACGAAAACATAACGAGCCGAACGGTCATTTTCACAAGCGCCAAAAAGCTGCTCAAGCAGTCCATTAACTCGAAAAGATTGTCGAAATGAAAATGCACTACAAAGTACTGATAGTGGTAGAATTGCGTAATTACTAGCGTAATCAACCAAAACACTCTGTAGAACAACACGCATGATACCCCTGGCCAGACACCGTACATGATCAGCATAAGTTCTACCGTGCGATTGATCGTGCGGTTACTCGCCATAATTTTTTTTTCTCTGCTATTGTCTATGTACAAGCCAGGGCATCAAAACTTAAGGAAACTCTCGTCAAAGTGTAAGAAACATATACTCTCGCATAAATTATGTTCTTCAACCACTTGATGTACGTTGTAGAAAATTTGCTTGAAGACTAGAAGATTCTAGGAGCGTTGCGAAGTAAATGTCACCTTTGGGCGATTGACCAATGGCAGTTGCTCATTAAATATTTTTATCCCACCGTGTGCACACCACGAAGAAGTAGCGTTTTGTAATTTTAAAAAAGGGAGCGAACAGTGTTGTCGTGCGTTCCCTCCACCGTTAACGATACATTCGCGAATAATTTTCTTGAATACATAATGATCTGTTCGCGGAGATGTATATACATACATCCGGTGGCAAGTTGCATCCTTGGAAGTGTTTAACATCTGGAGAATAAAAAATGAGATTCGAGGGGAAAAGATAAAGAAGATGACTAGATAATTGTGCGCGAAATGCCATGTAACTGTCATGTAAAGTCTTAACTTCTCGCGAATAACTGCCCTTGAGAAAAGAAAAGCACCTGCCGAAGGATATCTTTCTTGCGAGATATTCACTAGGCAATTCGTGACTCATCTGCTTTAATAATTCAGAATATGTACAATGCGTTTATATTCGCGGAAATATACATTTAGGATCGAGGACCTGTGCTCTAGACTGAAACCGTATAAGAACACACAATGTTTCTCACATTAACAAACAGTATATGATGATTTCTGTGTCACAGTTTTCTGTATACAGTTAGTAACTATGCATATTACGTTACGGTAAGGATATTACGTTAGTCTAAAAGTATATATATTTAAAAAAATATTTACTATGCGTATGTTATGTATATACTGTGTCCTATTTAGAAGAGTCAACTTCTGTATCACTTGGTTCGTTGCTTCATGACTGTCATTTGGAAATTACAAGATTGATATTACAGCGATCATTTCATTGCCAGCAGTACCGATAGATACGATCCTGAAGCCTTCATGATCTGTAACAATATTATTGCTCTTATTAATAATAAAAAATGTATGTATATTAATATGACATGTTCATGCAAAACATTTTATACGATAAAAAATCTGCCTTGGATGATAATATTATTATTATTTGTTTTAACAAATAACGAAAACGTTATGACGAAAGTATAGGTAACTATATAATTAAACATAAAACTTTCAGTTAAGATATGTTTTTTTAAATAATTATTAGAAGAAAGTCTTCTAATGTGAGATAGGCTTCTAATATGAGATAGCAGATTTTTAACATGAAGATTTAATCACAAATCTTTATTCTTGTTTTAACAAATAACAAAAACGTTATGACAAAAGTATAGGTAACTCTATAATTAAACATAAAACTTTCAGTTGATATGTTTTTTTTAATAATTGTTAGAGGAAAGTCTTTTATTGTGAGATAGGCTTCTAATATGAGATAGCAGATTTTTAACATGAAGATTTAATCACAAATCTTTATTCGCACCGTTTACGCGACCTAACAATGAATTTTCTACTAAACAGATTTCACTTCAAAGGCATTAAATTCACGAGTCCAATAGATGATACTAGGAGCTTATCTCATAACAGGGGATTTTCCTCTACGTATCTTACATTTGTGAAGTACTCTAAGGAGAGAACCGACATCTTGCCGGCTGTAAGCTTCAATTGCTTCTGCGATCTTAAAATTATAAATAATAAAACGCGACTATCTTTAGCTTTCATGTCGTACCAAGCAGAATTGTACGCCGCATTGCCGATTGCTTTGCTCTGTGAAGATAGAAATGATAAAAATAAAACTTCGATAATATTTCTGTCTTTATAATATTAGTCTTAATACTATACGCGCAAGATTCTCGATATGTTTCCATTATTGCTATCACAATAATTTTCCGTTGCTAACCTTATTGCTCAGATATTCTCCAGCAAAGCAAAATATAAACGCTTCGAGATTCGTTACAGCGTAAAATAAAAGAGACCTTATTATTTGTTCAGTGGCGTCTGGGCTGCCCATTGCCTGCAATGTTGAAACAGAATGGAAGTAAATACGTTGACGCATAGCGAATTATAAATAGTGATTTATATGAGCATAATAAATTAATACGACAGATAGATCAATGTATGTTAAAAATTAACTAATGCCATTGAACTGGTGCAAAGTGGAATGCGTATTTTTGTATTTGAAATTTTAATCAGTTTACTCACGGTTACAATGAGAAATCCCAATGAGCAAATCATCACCGTATTCGATGTGAATTGCAACAAAGCTATGTATGAATAGAGATTTTCAATGTTCTCCGAAAGATTAATAATTTTTTGATGTTTCCGAATAATTTTCGACATGGCTGTGACGAATGAATCATTCGTTTTTCCGATTTCGTTAGACCCAACTTCCGTTAACCAGCAAAGCAGGGTGTTTATTTGACTGACCACGTGTAGAGTCTACGAATAAGAATTGTGTCATTTGTAACAATTATTCATTTTACTTTTAAAGATGTTATTAAAAAATGAATGTAATAAAATGTACGTGAGCGAATTGAGTCTGAAAGAGAGATTTAATTTTTCTCGACTTTACCGCCTAATATTTAAGGCCTTCACACACAAAATTCCGTAAGGACGTAAAACGTAAGCATAAGAAAATCGACCAATCACAGTCGAGAACGTAAGGCAATAACGCAAGCAGTAGCAATCCAATCTGTTGATTTTCTTACGCTTACGTTTTACGTCCTTACGGAATTTTATGTGTGAAGGCCTTCATACGGATAATTTACGGTGGAGTATTAATTATGAATATAATTATATTTTGCTTATGATACTTGCTTATGTAGGTGCAGGTTACCAGAGTTAGAAACAAAGCGTTGAATAAACCGGCTCCCCAACTGCACGCCATCACGAAAATGAATTGCGTAGCTAATACCAGACTGTACTTGCGTTGCGTGTCTATAACGAAGGGATATTCCATTTTCATCATGAGAGGCAGTTCAGCCGTTCGATCGGTGACGTCGGCATCGGCGAGGAGGATGCCAATGACGTATGCAAGCGCGGCGATTGTATGAAGAATAATTAATCCATTACAAATACGACTCGATAGTTTTGCTTTGCTTGCCGTTTCGCGCAACGCAACGCCAGTATTATCGCAATCGTTCCAGTCTTCCGCCATCATTGTCAAGATTTCGATAAATTTTCTACAAACGATCGAATATTTCGAGATAGTCGCAACACATTTTCGCAATGTTATATTTTTTTTCTCTCTACGAAATTTTTACTGTTTAACTTGTTAGGTGTCCCTTACCGCTGCTTTAGCGAAAAGATAATGAGCTTAGCGGTCAGTTTCACGTGCGCCAAGAAACTACTTAAACAGTCCATCAAGTCGAAAAGATTGTTGAAATTAAAATGCATTACAAAGTACTGATAGTGTAAGAATTGATTAATTGCTAGCGTAATCATCCAAAACACTCTGTAGAGTATTACACATGGTATACCTGGCCAGACACCGAACATGGTCAGCATAAGTTCTACCGTGCGATTGATCGTGCGTTTACTCGCCATAATTTCTTTCCCTGCTGTTCTCTACGTACAAGCCAGTGTATCAAAAC